TCACTCATCCCCTCTCTTTCTCTCTCTCTCTCTCTCTCTCTCACATCGTTGCTTCGCCAATTTGCTTGTCTTACGAAAACGTCGTCGCCGGTGTGAAGCGCCACCACCGTCGTCGCAACAGTTGCGAAGACACCACCACCATTGCGCTCATGACGCCACCATCGGCCGATGTGAAGTGCCACCACTGTTGTCGCGACAGTTACGAAGACACCATTACCACTGCGCTCAAGACGCCACCATCGAGCGCTTCATTCTGAAGTAGAGTACCATTGCGAAGATGCTGCTGCAGCCCATCACTCTGTAGCACTGCATTTCGATCTGCGCAACGTCGGGGCTATGTTGACCGGCAATGTCAAACCAATATTGTGGGTTTTGATTCGTAGTTTGTGGTGAGCGTCGATGATGTTTGTAGCTTGTGGTTTTCGTCGATGAGCATCACTGCTATGGTTTTCCGACTAGGTTGTGTTGGCGCGGGTGGATCTGTTGTGGTTGTGTTGGTGCGGGTGGATTTGTTGTGGTGTTTTTTTGGGGAGTGTTTGCACATTGGGGTGTTTTTTTGTTGGGGGTGATGGTGGTGCATTCTGGCCATTGGTTATGTGGTGTGATGGTGGATCTAACACTGTTAATGGCGTTGGTGGTGGATAATTTATACCTATAATTTGAAAATTTGTGACTATCTGATAAGTTGTTGGCGGCGTTGTTGGTGTTGGCGATGGCGACGATGTTTTGTTGGTGGTGGTCACAAATAATTTGGTTGATTGTGACCGATCAATAAATAATATGTGCCTAATGAAATAAATAAATTGTGACCAATAAATATGGATAATTCGTGATGTACATCACCATGTACATCAAGGTGTCCATAATGGACACCCTGATGTACTCCTTGATGTACCACAAGAATGATCCTAAACAAAATGAATACCCAAATAATCTTTTGATGTTTTGACTGTACATAGTAACAAACCTTCCCAACAAAGTATACTAAAGATCAAAAACTATAAAATGCATAAGCAGAAATATATCCATCAGTTATTCGAACATAAATACCAGATTGTCCAAATCGTATAGCGACAGGAAAAATATAACTTTCACTAGAAAAACAACATTTACAGTGTAAGAAGGATTTCAGCAGAAATTGGACGTAATTTTCACTAAATTCTACATCGCCTAATAAATTATTCTGCTACACCAAAACTGTTGCCTGTGATTGGAGTCAAATACCACCTCAGGCAATTAGACACCTATTTATAGAAAGGGCGAATTATTTGCCGCCTCACTCCCAAACAAAAGTCCTAAAACTGCATAAACTAACACACTGCTAGACACACCAAAAAATGGCTTTGTTTGAGCCAAAAGAAGGATAGGGATGAAGTTGAACTACCGCGTTGAAAAGAAAATCACCTAGACATAACCAAGCTTGTCACTGGAGATGCAACAGACGAACTAAAAAGAACATCTTTGGCATATTTACAATTTTCTGAATCTACTTTCAAGGATGATGGGGCAAAGAATCTCTTTAAAGTCCCCATTGCCGAGTACTTCCCACTACTATTAACACCATAATGGGCTTTGTGAAGGGGGTTCCTACCACGTCTTCTCTTTCCATAAGACATCCACCTTAACTGAGTAAGCAAACCATCGTTTGAGAGGTCCCTTGCCACCTTATGTGGCTTCTTCTCATCATCACTGCAAAACATAGAGCCGTCACATCCGACTAGGTTCTGTATAGGCAATGCATCTCTATGAATTGTATCAACAAGATCTCTATTGATGTATGGAGCGGCTTTAGGATTAATATAAGAGGCTATTTCAACACGTGGCTTTCTTCTGAGCCCAGATAATAATGGGGCCACCTCTGGCTTGGCCTTGATATCTTTCCACTCATTTTCAATCCATTCTTGTGAATGCCTTAAGTCATCTCGACTGAAGATCATCTCTCGCTTTTCCCCTACAAATTAGTTAAGGATAACAATAAGAATCCATTCAAAACAGTTGGAGAGGAAAAATACATTACAAAAAAGAAAAGAGCATGGAGGAAAAAGAAATTGAAACTTCGGCAGGATAAGAAGAGTGAAATTATTTCGAGATAAGCCTCTCCAACGATTCACACCTGGGAAATAAACATGTACCTCATCCTCCAATTTTTTCTTCACCACAATGCCTTCCCACCATCCATCATACCACCAAGCATCAACAATGCTTCCAATATTTACTAATAAAGAAACTCAGCCCCTGTCAGACAATGGCACAGGTCTAACAACTGTCCTTCCACGAACCCAAATACCTAACTCGTCCGGCACAACTAATCGAGATGCCAAAATCCACTCCTAAAAAGCGAAACACTAAATATGGTAAGAAATCACTTAAACGTGAAAAGCATACTCATAAAGGAAACACGAAACATAACAACATAGTCACCTCCAGATGTTTTGCATCATTAGTTGCATCCTTGATATCTCGATATTGCACTTTGACCTTATCTTTGTGCCTTTTGATGATCAAAGCTCTGAACCAGCAACCTCTGATGCCACTATCTTGAGAAAGCACTTCAACTTGAGAACTAATAGTCAAATATTGTGTACGCATTAACTTCCCTGGATCTTGCCATGATAAGGATACCAAAGGACAGCCTTCATTCAGACTGACCATTTTCTTGGAGCCTTCAGAACTGATGAAACCATCACTGCCATCTTCAGGTCTAGCATCAACAACCTCCCTCTTTCTGGCAGGTTGCAAGTATATCTCACACTCTTTGGACCGTCGAAGTCTCTTCTTGGGTCTACTTCCAACTGCATCACTAAGAGTTCCTTCTACCTTACCTGTTAGTTTTAGCAAAGAAAGAAAATGAACATGTGATTAATAAGCCAATCAACTTCTATTTCACCACTATTTGATTAAGAGAACCGTCACAAAAGGGACTTACAGATATTTTAACACTGTTGCGACAAAATGATAAATAGTGCTTCCGCCTTTCCCGACAAATCCATGATGACCCCAACCACATAAATTCCTTTGTATGCAGACCTGGCGTCTGCATTTGAACATCCTGCAAAAAAATTATTGAAAGAGACATTGGTCACATATCCATTCCATAGTACCTTAGGGCAGAAAGAATTAAGCAAACTAATAACGAATATTAATTAACCTTAATAACAACAGCATCCAACTTGTGGGCACCTTTTTTTCCATACAACCACCAAATTGTTCAAAAAAATGATGCTGACTTACATCTGAGAGTGGAATCATAATGGAACAATTAGTATCATAGTACAATAGCATTCTCCTTTGAAGCATGATAGTGAAAGTTACTAGGAATAGCATTAGTAAAGAAGCAGACAAATCAAGGTAAATAGAAAGACAGAAGTTGATAGAATAAACAATCAAAAAGAACTTTAGCATAGATAACCAAGATCTTTACAAGAAAAAAGTTATAAAACAAAGTCCAATTTCACCACAGTGGTCATCATAAACACCACAAATAATGGAAAAACCAGTCAAACAAAAACGATGGAAAGGGTAAAGGAATTCCAAATCACTCAACCAGCTCTTACAAATTGACTTAACATTCTCACAACCGATTGTCAATTTTTTTTAATAACATGGATACCAAAAATGTTTGAGACCATTACACTCAACCATTGAAAGACAATGCAATGATGAAAAGAGAAAAAAAAAAATGAGGAATTAAACAGGACCCAAAAAAGGACAATAGTTTCTAGATCAAAAGGAAAGCGCTGAAATGCAGAAAATATAAAAAATACAACTTCGCATATAACTTTAAATTTCGATTGAAGAGGGAAAAACAACTATATCTATACTGACAAATTCTAGAGAATGCGAGGGGTAAGCCAGCCATATTAGCTGGCACATCAAAAATCAAAGAAATACATGGGAAATTAATATTAGATTCTCTGTTCAGTAGATAAAATCGCAAAATAAGAAAGAAGACATCGTCAAAATGAAATCAATGTTCCTCCTCATATATTCAATTAATATATGTTTCAACCACAAAACATATGGGTGAGCAACACAGATCTACTTTTGTCAATGCTCATAAAATCCTTCTCTTATGAATGAATAGCATCCAATTGTATAAATCCAGGACAACCGAATATGTTTCCTTTAAAAATACAGTAAAAAAGGCAAAGAAGCTCTTTAACACCACTAGATCTTTTACCACATAATCTAAAAATCCACCTCCAGAAAATTGATAAAAATTCCACAAGGTGAAAAATAATAAATAATAAATCACTAATCAGAATAAGTCCTTCAACAAAAGTGGCATTATTCAGGAAAATGCAGTTCAACAAAGAAAATTCGTTTTCTTCCCACTTTAGCACATCAAACATCCTCGTGAAAATTCAGCTAATATTAATATCAAAAGAAATCTAGAGGAGTTCTTATATTCTTAGAAACCTTTCTTCCAAATTGTTATAATAAATAAAAAAGAAGGGCCTTTACACCCCCCCACCCCCCGCCCCCAATACTTTTTGTGAAAGTTATTGGAGCCAGATATGAGATATTCCAGTTATTGATCCTATATTAAAATCATTGCACACCCATATGGAATTCTCCTACTGTAGTTCAAAACTCATTCCTGGAACCTGTATTTCCTCTTTCGTTGGAAAAGAATTCTAGAAAATTTTCATCAATCACACGCTTAGTATACACCTTTAGCACCTTTAAGATATTTA